CTGCCCGGCCGGCCGCGGCGCCCATGCCTGGGACGCGCGCCTGGGACGCCCGCACTTAGCAGTATGTCGCGGCGCAAACAGGCGAAGCCCCAGCACCTCCGCTCGGACGAGGAGCTGCCCCCGCCGGACGTGGCCTCGGAGCACGGTGAGCGGCCGGCGGGACGGGGAGGGCCGGGTGGGGGACCAGGGGCCGCGGCCCCGCGCCCCGGCCGCCCTCTGCCGGCGCCGACCTCCGTCAACACGGCTCGGCCTGGCCACTTCCGCGCGAAGTAAACTTGGCGCTACGCGCGGAGGAGCCCGCAACCGGGACGGCGGGGCCGGGAGGCCGCTAGGGTGGGGGTCGTACCGCCTCCTCCGCGCCGCCCCTCGGACGCCACTGGCCGGGTGGGCTAACCGCGCGCCCTGCGGCGCCTCCGTACGAGGCCTCCGCGGTCGAGGGCGGGCTCAGCGCGCCGGCCGCAGTCGCCTGGGGAGGCCAGCAGCCTGGTACCGAGGGCCGCGACGCCGGGTGCTGCCTCGGCGGGACGACTGGGACCTCCGCGCACTTCCCTGACCCGGGCCCAACCTCCCAGGTGCGGCTGAGCTGGCGCCCGGCCCATCCGAGGGCCACGGCCTCTAAGCCGGAGACTCTTCCCGGCGAGCGGAGTCCTGCGGCCGCCGCTGTCCGGCCCGAGACTTTGGAATTGCGAGGCGGGAGTGTAGGTCATCATGTCGCCGGGAACTAAAGCCGGCGATCTCCGTGGGCGCTATGGGCTTAGTGAGCCGCCCGCGTGCTTCTCGGCACTTAAGGGGGGGGGGGCACGGCGTGCGTTTTGCTCGCAGGGACACCCTCCTACGAAGGCACTCCAAAGGCAGTGTTAGGAAGTGCGGGCCAGGCGGGACCGGGAAAGTTAGAGCCTAGGGCCGAGGTCCTAGGGCTGCCCATTCGGGGTTGTTGGGCCCACGGCAATGGGACAGGCGATTCCGCCGCCCGAGCCTCGCGCCCACGTGGGGTCTCCGCAGGTTCTGGGGAGCGGGCCCGGAGACGGGAACGCGGGGAACTCCCGAGTTCAACAGAGCTGGGCTGGAATTTGCACTTAAATAGGCCAGCGGACTTTGTCGTTGTTTTCAGTGAGCAACGAATTGTTCTTGCCTCTGTCGGCTGCTCCTTTTCCTGTGCTGTTAGAGGGCTCACAGAGTTTGAGTTGTCCGTGTGCTGAAGTGTGCAAAGCTGGTCTGCATCCGTGTCGGAATGGACCGACGGAAAGTTGCTAGCCTCGCTGGCAAGCGCGGAATTAAATGAAATTATTAAACGAGTTGGGTCTTTTTGTGGCCCTGAAGGCGGAGGAGCCTTATCTGTGGAGCCAAGTCGCCAAGATTAGAACCGGAGATATGCTAAAAAGAGGCGTTTGCATATGGTGGTAGATTAAGGACAAAGGGTCTTTTTGTCATGGAAATGGATTTTTTTTTTGTTTTGTTTACTTCATCACATAGAATTTCTCACACTTGGTTTGTTTTGTATTGCCCTCAATGACTACATGATCAAATGAATGGATTTATTTCTGCCGAATGAGAAAGAGCGTCTTTCCTTCAAAAGAACTACATTGCGTCCTGTGAGGAATTTTAAAGCGTTATTATTGTGTCTCCTGAATAGCTTCAAATCGGCTTTCACTACTGCCCCAAAATGCAACAATGTAAATACTTCTCAGCTTTGTAAGGTCATTATCAAAATGCGCAATGTCTCCTTTATTAAAGCATATTTTAATTAATAGAGTAAACCCCCCTTGTTTCTAACAACTAGCGAGGCACTGCCATTTATTTTTAATTTCACTCTAGAAATGGGAACGCGGTGAATTTAACCGTGCAGAGGGATGAGCGCTCAGGAGCCCTGAGGTGGAGGAAATTCTTGACAAGTTCCCTTGCGTTGTGCGCGGTTCTCCTCTTTTTTTGCAGAGATGCAGCATGTTTGGGTTCTTTTCCCACCGTGGATTCAAGTTCTGTGGCGCCTTCACAGTGGATGAGATGTGCCACAGTTGCTGATCCCATTTTGCAACAGGCCAAAACCAGGCTGCGGGTTGGGGTCCCCGAAGCTGAGCCAGTAGGTTGTGGCTTGTTTTAAGGATCGTTTAGGCAAACTATTGAAAATAGTTCCTTTTTATTTAGTTATTGTGAAGCAGATTGTTCGGAACATAAAAGGGGCTCTTGTTCCTTGTTGGGGCCAGAAATACTGGTCTATTATTGCTCTGTCTTTCTGCTTACCAGTGCTAAGATCACTAAGTCAAGAATATTTTTTAAAAAATAAAGGGCCGTGACAACCAACCTGCTCCAGTGTCATCCAGATCCCCTCAAAATGTCTACTTTGCTAAGTGTAAAAGACATAGATAAACATTAGCATATAACAAACATGGTGCTGGAAGGTACGACGGAAGTTAGTGTAACAGAAAGTAGGTGTTTCAGAAGTGAAGTAAGTAATTCTTTTGTGTCACTGTGGACCATGACATATTCATTAAAGCCCTGGGTCCGAGTAGATGCCATAAAATTGAAGGCTGTTAATAATATCATGTAGAGCACATTTAACATACTAAATTTTTCAGTACAGCAGAGGGGCTGCTCGCATGTTGATTTACAGAGAACGCCTCCAGCAGGAGGTCTCCTTTCTGGGAAGCAGTCGAGCCGAGCCTGCCTCAGCAGCGTCCCTGCAGGAGTGAGGTGACCCTCATCTAGAGGAGAAGTGACGCGGGCACTCAGGTTCTACACTCTGCCTTGTGAAAATGCGAGTCTGTGATGCTGAGAGTTACGCTCCCAGAGGGAACTGTCTTTGAAAATTACTTGCTTGAAAATGGTTTCGTTCGCATTTCTGAAAATCAAAGTGGTGGTGATGTGTTTGGGATTGCGTTCGCTTTGTGCCATCAATCCTAAAACCCTTTAAGCCAGTGGAATAATTCTTATTTAAGAGAAATTAATTAAAACTTCCAGCAACACTTGAAAGTCTGACTGCGAACTTTTAAAAAGTGTGACATTGCTGTTCCTCTGCCACAAGATACAACTTAATAAGCATGTATTTTAGGGGTCATTAGAAAGAACGTGAGTATGTAAGGAAGAAGGGAAAATATTTTAATTGAGAACAATCTGACGATCCCATAGTTTGCTCAGTTGTTAACACTAATTCTCTCCAAGTGTTTTTATTTTCTGCCAACTTTACCGTCGTGTGGCTGTCTTAAAATTCCTTTCAAATGCGGAGAGCATGTGATGTGAGAATTTAGCGGTGGCATTCAGAGGCCTTGTGGAAATGAGGAGGGGCAGGCTGTTGCCCTCCTGGAGGAGAAATCGTTTTCTTTTATCTGGGCGTGCACGGTTTGCCGGCTGCTTTCTCTGGGGCTCCCAGGCTCACAGCACAGCATTCACAGTTCAACAAACCAGAGAGAAATGCTATAGAAGCCGTCCTCTGGTGTCCGGGGTGTGTGTGTGGGGGGGGAGTCTCAGAAACATGGGAGGTAAAGAGAAAGTAACTGGGAAGAAAAGGGAAAATCCAGGAGACTTTGCAAATATTTCTTTGAAAAATATCACTTTAAAAACTTAACCTACTTAAAAATGCATGATGTGGTGACCCACCCTCAAGGGTGCCAGTTCCTGTCCACCCCCCTCCAGACAAACCAAGTGTGTAGCTGAGTGAGAGGATGGGTGTGTACAGTGCGTCTGAAACTCCACAATGTGCGTGGTGGAATATTCTTAGAACTATTCAGGCCCAGAAAGAAAAGAGAAGGCTCGGGCAAACAGCAGGAATTAGTTAGCAAGCTGATTATTGTTGTACACAAGATGCTGGGAAAGAGGCAAAAGTGGGTCAGATTTCATTTCAGCTGGATCTCTAAGAAGCTTTACCCTGCTCTCAAGGCGGCCGTGAGGTCATTCTCGGTGGGGATTCTGCAGAGGTGCAGCCAGGGACGCCTTCTGTGCGCGGATGCTGGAACCCAGCTCTCCACTGCGTGAGTGTAGCAGTGGCTCTGAAAAGCTCCTGTTATCAGCGCATCAGGTGATGCTTGGCTTCTAAAAGCTGCCGAGGAGTTTCGGGGAGCCGGTGCAGAGCCACTTCACACCAGCGAGGTTTTGTTGTTGTTTTCAGCCTCCATGCTTGCTCGACTAGCCGACAGAATAAGATGGACATCTCTTAGGCGGCTTCATGAAAGCGCGGCCGAGTGGACGCTGGTGAAGCAGGTTTGTACTGACAGCATATGGGAAGGTGCTGCACATTTGCAAAGAAGCAAACATGCGTGAGGCCAGTGAAGAGACGGAGTGTCTTAATGTTACTTTCTGTGCAGCTTTGCTATAAAATCCTTTGCTACTTTTTTTGGTCATTTTTGTGATTCCCGTGCTTGTTTAAAAGGCAGTTAACTGGCTAGGTGATTTCCAAGAACACAAGCCACAGAAGTGATGCCAAATGGGGCAGAATGTTAATTGTGACATTAGAGAAGTTCAGAGCTTCGAGTTGATTTGTTTGTAAATAAAAGACCTTCCTTATGCTGGTGGCCCAAGAAGCCCACCGATGACGACCACCTGGTGTGTGAGTCTCCCAGGGAGTGGACCTGATGACTCCCGCTGGCCCCCCATCAGCCCAGCAGGCAAGGCTGGTCTTAACCCCCTTTGCATTTTCTGAAGCACGGAGGCCTCCTCTGAGCCACCCCAGGGAGGTGGACTTCCTGGGCGGGCAGCTTCCTTCCTGGGGCGCTCCCTGAAGGTAGGTACTTAGAAATGCGTTGACAAGCCTTGCTGATTTAACCTTTGCCAGGGGTGGCCACTAGATGTCAAGCTCATAATACAATTAGTACATCCCAGCCATTGACCTTGGCAGCGCAGCATACACATTCTATTAAGTGTTAACACTGAATCTGAGTGTTAACTGGAGACCCTGCGTGTTTCCTTCGAGCTTATCAAATGCCCATCTAGTTCAGCACAGTGTTTATAGTTCTGAAAGCGGGGAAGGTTCACTTTTGCGTGGCCATTCCTTCTTGAACTGTTTCATCAATCCTGCAGGTACTAGGGCACTTTGTCCTGGTCCCAGCTTTTGGGCCTCATTCAGGAGTGGGCACCTGGGGCCTTTCCTGCCGCCAGGCCATGTAGGAGCTGTGTCTCACTGGCCCTCATCCTCCAGCAGCTGTCAGTGGTTTGTCT